AAAAAAGTAGATCATAACCATATTTATGATAATTTTCCAGACAAATTTGCCTGGAAAAGCCTACAGTTTAAGGGATACAGTAGTATTAAAACTATTATTATTACCTTGGTATCATCTCGATTTAATTTATTAGATCTTTTCAAGTTTAATTTATTGGATTTCTTTTACATTAATCTAATATAATAAAATTTAATTAATATAGATTATCTTAGGGCACAAAATTTCAGCATATTGTAACTGCTTTTTTTTTTGGTAACCAAAATTTAGTAACTTCTGCAATATATTTATATTATAAAATTTCTAGCCACTTTAAAATTACGCCAGAAATAAACTGAACCTTCAGTATTTTACAATAGAATTTTGTGCCTTGGATTATCTCTATTACAGTATTAAAACTATTGTAATTACTTTGTGTCATAAGAATGCAAATTTAATTTATCGATTTTTTTTATATCAATCTAATGTAATAAAAATTTTTTATCAAAAAATTTAATATAAATAAAATCTTTTGATAGTAAAATAATAGCACCTTAGTTATGTCTTTGTTTACCTCTTCAGATAAATTTTCTTCTATATCTACCTCTTCAGATACATCCTCTTCTACATCTTTATTAACAAACAACCAGCCAAAAAATGTAATGAGATCTAAAGGAGGAATTAAATTAATTAGTTGGGTTTAGAAATGGGGTGAATGTCAAAAATTATCAGACAAAACTGGAAGAATTTTCATATATATCAACAAGTTATTAAATGGAAAAGACTATACTTCTAAAATTATGACAAAAGGTCTAACTGAAAATATTATTAATCATTTAGCAGTTATGCATCAAATATTTAAAAATATGCTTTTACCTACAAGATCAACTAATCAAGATGAATCTTTTATGACAATGACCAAAGAACGGCAAAAATATCTTGAACAACTTCTCTATGAGTGGTTTATTCTAGAGACTCTGTCTTTATATATACTTGAATCGCCTTCATTCCAATATTTCATTAATAAATCCATTTTGGCATTCAATATTCCTAATTGTAAAAAATTTAAAAGAAAAATTTTTGAGTCTAAAAATTATGTTAGTTTAAAAATTTCAGAATTATTAGAGCATGAAGCAAGTTGGGTATCACTTACATGTGATTTATAGACCTCTCGCTCTAAGATGAAATTTTTTGGAGTCACTACACATTTTATAACATCTAATTTTGAGTTTAAAGAAGTTACCTTGATGATTAAAAATCTTCCACATCCTTATATCGGCGATCATATTCAAGAAGCCCTAGAAATAGTTATAACTAAATGGAAGTTAAACAATAAAGTATTTTGCTACACTACCAATAATAGCACAAATATGAAAAAAGCACTTAATCAAATTTCTTGGCTTAAAAGGGTCTTGTGTACAGTGCACACTATTCAATTAGTAGTTGAAAAAGGAATGCTACCAGCCAAAGTTCTAATTGCAAGAGCATGAAAACTAATTAACTTTTTTACCTATTCTAAGCAATGCAAGAGATTAATTAATATTCAAAAACAATATGCTATAAGCACAAATATTGAAGATGAATTAATAAATGAATTACAATTAGTTTTTTATCATGCATTTACTGATTGTGAATCATGATGGTCAAGTACTTTTAATGTATGGGTCATTTGTTAATTTTAAGACCATTCATTGATATTCTTTCTACAACAATAAATGTAAAGAATACTGATATGGAAACAAAAAAGATAGAAAGCAGTTAGAAAAAATTAATCTAACTTCTGAAGAATGGTTATTTATCGAAGAAGTTATGCCAGTTTTAGGTAGTATTTCAAATTAAAAATCAATTATGTAATCAAGTTGGGATTTACTTATTTGCACAAGTGATTTTTTTTTATTTTTATTTTTTTTGGTTTTAAGGTGAGGCCTTGCTCATATCTTTATTAGTAATAATTTTTTAATAGTAACAAAGTAAAT